CCGTAAGTACGTAAGTTACGTTACGTTCGTTACGACGTCGACGACGACCGTACGTAGTTACGTTAGTGTAGTACGTACGTCGTACCTACACCACCGACGAGAGAGAGAGAGAGAGAGAGAGAGAGAGTCTCCAAAATAATCATAAGGTTTTCCTCTGAGGGAGAGTCTCCAAAATAATTATAAGGATTTCTTGTGAGGTAGTGGACTACATGGGCCCAAGCAACTTTCTCCAAATTTTTGAACAAACAAACAAGGGTGTGGTTTGTATAAGGCTGAGGCTCTGAACAATCAAATTAAATGGTGTCGAAAGATGTTGTTTCACGAAATCTTTTTGATGGTATGAAAATTTATTTTCATATCTAATTGTAAAATTTAAAGCTTAAAAATAGTGTAGATCAATCAGATCTTGAAAATTGATGGTTCAAAAAATGCATGCGCTATTTCGAAAACTTAAAATCTGTTATTTTGTTATGTCCATACATCTTGAAGTCAGGTTGATCGTTTTGAGATTTTTGATCTGGTGAATTTTTGAAGTGTGCTTTAATTTGATTGTTTAGGGGTATAAATGTTTTCCAGCGAATAGTTCATGGACTGACTAATGTTGTTCTCCAAACCAAATAACTGATCAGCATGGGACACATGTAGAGGGGCATTGGGTTCCTTACAAACCCCATTAATAAGTCAAGTGGTGGTGATCCTTAGGGTAACTGAAGAAGGATCTATTCCAAGAAAATAAAACTCTGCATGGGTACTCCACATAATTGAGTCTTTTGGGCTTAGAGCCTTAGTAAATTATGTGTTTCAATTCAAGCTTGACATGATTTAAAATTTATAATGATAATGTAATGGTGGACCATTAGAATTACAAAAACAATAAACTAGTAGCATAATTGTTTTCAATGGCACTTACACAACCATGCAAAGTGGACCCCATCCCTCCTAATGGATGCCACGTGGAACCCATTTCAAAGTGGGGCCCCTACCTAGTAATTTGTGGCATTTAAAGCTTAGAGGAGTCAATTTTGGGTGTCACCCACTTATATGATTTAGTTATAAGGGGACATGATAGGTCTAATGGATTGTGACTTGCTCTCTTTGGGTGGCCATAGGAAGTGCCTCTTTTGGGTGTCACATGGATATATAAGAGTCTTGCAATTTCTAGGGTTTTAAGTGGGGAAGTAGAAATCGATATCGTGGTTTTCTTTTTTTAATGAAAACCAAGTTACCACTTTAGCCCTCTTTATTTGTCTCTATTTTTTACTCAATAGAATATGCCAAATACCCATCCATATGGGAGCCACCACCCATACCTTTTTAGTTTGTTTAATTTGGCATGCTTTTCTAAAAATTTTGTTGAGCTAATCTTGGCCAAATTTCAAATGCACCAAGCAATAATTCATGATTGTATCAATTGTAGAAGGAATTTTGATTGGGACTGTCTACAAGAAGACTATCTATCTTTTGTATGAGGAGATCACAACTATTCCCACTCATTAGATGTCAAATTGGATGGTTTGGGGTGAGCCACAAAGTCCGGGATTCTTTTTTTTTTTAAACGGTATAATCAATGATACTCTTACAACCATTCATTTTAGAATCTAAAAGAAAAGAATGATTGTGACCTCCTTATACAAAAGGTGAATTGTCTCTTTGTAAACAATCTCATTTCAAATACTATTTAAAAATTTGTGTATAATTTTCTCAAGAATTTGAGGCCAAAACAGACCATGATGATGTACGCTTGCATCTGTGATTACCGACCCAAGAGGCTGAACCCGATTTTAGCCATGTGCTTACTTCAAATGCGGCCCTCATGGAGCCCTGGCTAGAATCTTTATAATATCCCATGTGTAAAACTACCTTAGACTCCTCAGAAGTCCGATCATAAGATATATTGTGTCATATTTGGATCTTGAGTTTTCTTTTTTTTGGTTTTATAAAGGAAAAATATACAAGAAGACTATTCTGATAAAAGGAGGTCGTAGTTAATTATAGCTAACTGATCAGCCCTGGCTAGAATCTTTACAATATCCCATGTGTAAAACTACCATAGGCTCAGAAGTCCAATCATAAGATATATTGGGTCATATTGGATCTTGAGTTTTCTTTTATTTGGTTTTATAAAGGAAAAATATACAAAATGACTATTTTGATAAAAGGAGGTCGTAGTTAATTATAGCCCATTGAATCTAAAATCATGGTATTATGGGGCATCGTATTGATTAGATTCAAAATTTTAAAAAATAAAAATAAAAAAAATTTAAATTTTATGACACATCCCAAACTTTTAGATTTCAGGCTATGGGTAATTGTGACCTTCTTGTATTAAAGCAAACTTAGATTTCTTGAATGACCAAGTACACCCTATCGATTCAGGTTTCTAGACATTGATTTGAACAATCCATTCAAATCGTATGCATAAGCAAAAGGAGCGAAATGTTGTAGGGGTAGTACAACTGGAATTTCAATCTTTTTATGGAGGTGTTGTTTGCTTCTTTTTTTGTTTTTTTTTTTGGAAAATCATTCGAACATTTTCTTAAATTCATCGCGCGATTACAAAAAGGCTTTGGTTAGCACTAGAGATGGTATAAAGGCTCCATATCTGGCCAAGGTATCTGCTAAGGAGTTGCATTCTTTAAAACAGTGACAAAAATATAACCTGATGATTAGAAAGTTCTCTAATCATGCACATGGGACTCCTTTCAAGAAATGAGAGAAAGCAGCACTAGAATAGATATGAAATGAGTGCCCCAATTTAAAGAGCATGCACATGTGGTACATCGTATCTGAAAGGGATTGTCTACAAAGAGACCATTTATCTTTTGTATATGGAGGTCACAATCATTCACACTCACTGGATTGTGATCTTCATGTACAAAAGATAGGTAATCTCTTTGTAGACAATCCCTTCTGAAAATTTCAAAAGACTATCGTAGGGGTTAAGTCATCGTATCAATAAAAAAGGGGCCCAATAGCTATTGGGAATAAATTTAAATTAAAAAATCAAACTCAAAAGTGTGTTGGCAAAATTTGAAAATGGCCCAAATTGAAATTTGGGGTGGAAATCAAAAGGTGCTTGTCGCTTTGATGCTGCAAAATAGTGCAACACTGTTAGTAGCAATAATATGTGTTGCTGCTGTCAATGCTGATGGTTCTTGCTGGTTATTTTCACTACTACACTAGTAACACTATTTCAGTATGAGCATTGCATAGAAAACGAATGTGCGATGTGATGGAGAAACACAAATAAAGGATTTGGCCTATTGGATTTGTAATTGTGAAAAATGTGACGTAGCACTAGGGTCCAAGACCCATCTCACCCACCCAAAAAGGAGAAGAAAAATCCCCATCTTGGGGGCCAATTTTCACTTTAAGGGACAAGGACAAGGAAAAGGAATAAATATTTAGGATTGTCCTACAAAGAATAAAATACTAAATAAAAAGGCACAGGTAGCTTAGAATATGCAATATATTGGATAAGTGCTTATTTCATTTCTATAGAATATTTGAAACTTTTTGTTGGCATTGATCACAAATTTCTTAAAGAAGAGCTCGCGCATAGTACTTCAAATGAAGCACAATGTACAGTTACTACCTCAGGCATAAGAGCTATATAGGAGGAGTTTTTTCTCCTTGAAATTTTGAGATCCATTTTAAAATTACTAGAGTTTTTTTTTTTTTTTTGGGAGAGTTAGATTTTGAGTTCCTAAACACTTAGATTTGGCAATCATAAATTGGGTCATTTTCCTTGCGATGGTGCAGGACAAGGCTGTATTTATGATATTTCATCTTGGGATGCATTTTATTTGACGGTTTTTTGGATGTTAAGTATCATGGGATGGGTGGGATGGGATACTTTTTCTTGGCATTGAAAGCATATCAATTTATGTTCAGGTAATGCTTTAGAATTTAATGTATCTTCCACTTATTTGATAGAAGGGTTAAGAGATTATCTATGGTTAAACTCTTCACAGCCTATAAAAAGGTATAACCCTTTTGTTACAAATAGTTTATATGCCTCGTTGTGTTGAATCTCAGGACCTTATTTTTTTCGAGGCACATATGGTTATGGTGACATAGAGTAATTATTCTTTTCTTTTCTTTTTGTGGTTGGTTGTTAGGTTCAAAAGGACACATCCCAAAATATGAGATCCTTAAAATATTCTTAGAACTTTACCCGAGTGAGTGAATGGATGGCATGCTTCCTTTGGGATTTATAGTGTTTTGGCTTTAAAAATGAAAATAGTTCTCTTAAGGGATCAATAAACCATTTACATGGTTGCGGAGAACACTACAGAGGTCAGCTAGGCATGATATGGTAACTTATTCGTTTCTTCTTCTTCATGATGTTCCCATTGTTATCCCTAATTCCCTTTTTCTTTTCTTATTGGTAAATAAAATTGCAAGTTCATTGATCTTTTGCAGAAAATTTGCTAGGGGCATGTCATAGCAAAGGTGCAAAAGTGACATATGGAGATCAAAGGAAAGTTATTATTCCATGTTATTTTAATATAGGAATACAATAATATGAGGGTAACCCACTTCACAAATTTGGGTGGGAATCCAAATGTTACCCTTGGTTGTGACATCACTACATTCTTCTTCTGTACATGCACCAGTCCAAAGGAACCATGAAAACAGTAGCACCCTGAGGTAACAACTAAATTAAGGCATATCATGCCTAATTTGAATGGCAAGTACAAACCTTGCATCATTCTTACATTTGTAACATAATTACTTAAAGTTATGCCAAGTTTGAGGATGGTCTAGACTACCCGGTGCATCTCAATATCTTCCTCATCTTCATCTCTGATCTCGAGCGAAATTGGGCGGTAACCCTTGGCGCATATCACGTAAAGAACGAAATCAACAGCCGTTAAAATTGCTAAGAGGAAGTAAAACCTATCCATGTGGCCCTTGTTGAGGTTTCCTGGTATCCAACCGGCCTCATGGTCCTTCCTAGTGATGTCCATAACAATGCTGACTAACAAGCTGCTAACATAGTTCCCAAAAGAAATTGAAGTCATGCAAAGTGCACTACCAAAGCTCTTTAGTCCATCTGGGGTTTGGCCATTGAAAAACTCTAGTTGCCCAACATACATGAATACCTCTGAGGCCCCGATTAGTACATATTGAGGAATTTGCCATAGTATACTTAAAGAACTTGGTTTGTCAACCTCTGTGGCATATTTAAGCCTCATTACCTCAACGGTTCCAGCTGATATCATAGCGATAATTGCGATGATCAATCCAACTCCCATCCTTTGAAGCTCAGTGATCCCTTTAGAGTTCTTTATGATCTTATGGAGACAAGGGATGAGAAACCTTCTATAAAAGAGAATGAAAGCTGCAACGCTCAGTATATCAAACATGGACATGCTTGCGGGAGGGATGTGGAAGCCAATGATGTCAGTTTTCATGGCTGCTCCTTGTTCTACGAAGAGGGAGGCCATTTGGGTGAAGACCACCGAGTAGATAATGGTGCAAAGCCAAATGGGAAGTAGTCTTAGAATGCATTTTACCTCTTCTACTTGTGTTACGGTGCACAAGAACCATGGATCACGAGTGGATCGATCTTCTGTGAAATCTTTCTTGGTTACGGTGGCCGCTTTGTCCAAAAACCTAAAGATCAAGAGAAAGATCAACATAATGAGCATAGCTGGCCATAAAAAAGCACGAGCCGGTGTTTCAATTATTACATTAATCGAGATGTACTAAAAGGGGAACTTTTATATCAGATATATATAATCTGTGTTATATGGTAGCCAACCGACAACCATCTCATTTTAATTAGACGATTGTTAGTAAGTCATGTCATATACAACATCCGTTGTTCCTTTTAAGTTGCAATTAATGTGTGACATTATTATCAGCTCACAAGCAGTATCCAACAAGCAACATCCAATCTTGAGTGAATGGCTATTGGTTCCCACACGTATATAAAATAAAGGTGTACTAGGACCTATAAAATAAAAATGTACGAGGACCCAACTCCCCTAAACTTAAAATGGGCACATATTGTTTTACATTGTAAGAATGATTGGAAGAAGAAACACTCTTGCTTACACTTACTTGAACTCGTGGGTGTGAAGGATCTTTCTACTGCCGCTTATAGTTGACTCCTTGCCATTTACTTCAAAGAGCTCCGAATCACGAGATGGGGCCTCGACCCTCCATTTCTTGAAGGAAGCAATCATTACTTGAGAGAACCTAGACAAAGGGTTTCCACCAGGGGCAAAATGCCTATACCATGGGGTCCCACCTATGAACAATACTAAGGCAATGAAGGCTGACCCACTAGACATCCAAAACCCTAAAGCCCATTTCCCTTCATCTTCAAAATATCCCAAAATGGTGTTGGAAAAGAGAGATCCAAGGTTCAATGCCAAGTAGAAATAGCTAAAGAAGGCCACTTTTGCATGCCCTTCTTGTGGGTCCTCCTCATCAAATTGGTCTGCCCCAAATGTGGCTATGGAGGGCTGGTATCCTCCATTACCTAAGGCAATTAGATAAATTGAGAGGTAAAATACCCCAATTATTATGCTTGAAGGGGTCTTACATGGGGAACCCACATGTCCACAACCAGAAGGATGGAGAAGGAAAAGATAAGAGATTATAGATAGCATCACCAGTCCCTGTCAACAAAAGAAGGGAAGAGCAAAAATAAGGTCACTAAATTTAGATTCAAAAGGGGGTATTTGCAAATAGAGCATGCATTTATAGTAATAACATGACTCAAAACATGCAAATGAGAAAAATGAAGGAAAGAATAAAAGCAACAAAGCCTTCCAAATTTTCATTAGGCATATTTATAAATTAAAAATTGATGTTCCATGAAACTCACACACATTCTCTCTCAACTTATTATGTTACAATTCTCAAAACATATTTTATTACGAGTTTTGGGTTTAGACGGTAGATGAAAAATAGGTATGCCTTCATGCATGTATGTATGGAGATCTCTAATCATTTGAAATTAGTTTTATTTAATAAAATGGCTAGAAGTAAAGCGATAACAATTTTACATATTAATTAATACTTGTCAACTAAGATTAACATTAGTTTGGAGAATCGTTTACAGTTCATTCCCAATTGTTCAATCAAGATCAAACAATAATAAATCTTTAAATCCATATATCCATATATATATATATATATATATAGACACCACTCTTTTTAGTTGTTACCATGTGTGTTTATATATATACACACATGACAACTAACTAAAAAAAACGGTGTACCTCTCTATCAAAGAAGCAAATTTTTTTTTTTTCATTATATGTTTCTAGTCTCTACCTAAAATCCCTCTTTTGCCGTTCCCAACCCACAAGGCTACATGTTGGAACGGTCGCCATCTTTGAACACGTGGCTTGTGTGTGCCACGTGCGGACTATAATCCTAATAGCATGCACAAAAAATTGACCACACTTGTGGATTGGACACGGTGCTCAAATCATCTATCTTGCTTTTTTGAAAAACAAAAAATATTATTTTTCTTGAAAAAAGATTATTCGTCCAAATTAAAAGTGAAAAGAGAAATGGAAAGACGAAACTCAAAGATAGAAAAGAAGCTATAATACTTTTTTTAGTCTGATAAGAATATACTGTCTATTTACTCCTGATAAGGGACACGGTACGGTTTCTATATGCCCACCGACTCACGTATAGGAATGCAGGCCCCTTAATAATTTATTTTTGAAATAGAGTTTGGTCTTAATTTTTAGGGAATATATAATGGAGATTATTAATATGTAAACATAATCAAAAAATATTTGAACCATTTATTTTATTTTTTCTTTAGAGTACTATTATTACCGGACTCAATTTTGGTGGACGGTGTAGATCTCCAAGCCCGCATGGCAACATCTGAGGGCTTGAATATAAAACCCGTTCTAGGAGTAATTTTAGGAGTTAAAATTCAGGGGATGTAACCTCTTTGACCTATAAATTAGCCTCAATATAAAAACTCTCAATTGTAGTCCCACTTGAACAAAATGATGTCTCAAGTGTTTGGAGGGTTAGATGCAACGCAAAATTCAAATTTTACTTTGAAAAATAATGATGTGGTGGTGGCTCTCCAACAAAACCCAAGAATAAACACATGCTAGAGATGTTTTTTTATGTATAAAATTTCGGGGACATAATCTCTACAACCCATAGAATAATCTCATCAAAAGAAATTTCCGAAATAATTTCTCTACATACTAAAAAAAAAAAACAAGAACCTCAAGATTGAATAGGAATCGTCCAATTTAGATGTCAGTGCCACAAAACTCAAATTCAAAAATTTTCTTCTAAGGTTCCCAATATTTTAGACAAAAAATATGGAGGGACAAGTCTCTCTCTCTCTCTTTCTCTAGTAAATACAAATAAATAAATATATATAGAATAGTAAAAAAAAAAAAAAAAAAAAAAAAAAAAAAAAAAAAAAAAAAGAAAGTAAGTAGTGGGGGGTGGTGTTTTATACTTACAAGGACAAAAATAAGCTGGAAAACGGCGCATGTTTTGTACCTCCCCCAATAAGAATCACTTAGAAAGGCTCCAACCAATGAAAATATGTAAACAGTCCCTGTCCACTTGCTTACGTTGTTGGCTGCCTCCGCATTGCTTTGCTTCAAGACTCGTGTCAAAAACAGCACCAAGTTCACTCCAACTCCAAAGAAAGCCAGCGTTGCCAACCCTTGGTTCACTGTTTGTTCACAATTTCAATTTGTGGTTCAGAAGAAATGACAACACTAAATTCAATTTGTGGCTGAGACACAGAGAGAGAGAGAGACAGACCCGTAACTTCCAAATGCTCATAGCCCACAAGTTAAAGAGACCAAAACATGATGAACTCCAAGCAAAAAAACACACACAGACAAGGACAAAAATTGACTTCAAACTACCCATTTCTTAGAGAGACAGAGATCCCACTTGGAAGAAAAACAAATTTTAGTGAGAACATCCACGTGGACAAGGACCATCCCTTGTAAAGTTTATTTTATTATTTATTATTTTTTTGAGTAATTTGTGGCCGCACATGAGAAGAAGAAAAAAAAGAGAGGCTAATTTTGAGCAAAAATTATATGGAAGATGTTTTTTTCAAAATTATCCTTCAGTCCAAGCTGCTTTTTATTTTATTTTATTTCAGTAGGACCATTTTTTTAATTAAGAAAAAGTCGGGTGCGTAATTTTAATTCAAAATTGGCTCATTTTGTTTTTTGTTTCCTACATAATTCACTCTTTTATTGTTTGAACTTTGAATGGTAACCAACCTGACTGGTGCTTACAAATCAAGCGACTTGAGCATTTATTTAGAAAGGAAGGAAGGAGAGATTGTAGAGAGAGAGAGAGGCATATACCCAATATGAGAATTGCAGCGTTCCAACCCCCAGTTGTGGCCTTTATGGCTGGCCTTCCATGCCTATCAACAGAGCCATCTCTTGTGTACATTTCACTTTCTCTCTCTTTCTTTCCTCCAAACTCAGCGCCACCCTTCTCATGTATAAAACAACATCACAATATTCAACTATCAATAACTCACATATCTCTCCTCTCTCTAAAGCAATAACTAAAAACTCTCTCTCTCTCTCTCTCTCTCTCCACAAAGCAATTCGGTTTTGTTCATTGACAAGCTAGAATGGCAGCTTTGCAAATGAATTGTAGGTTGATTCTATGAACCAATATAAAAAGTACCTTATTATAGTGAGTGTCTGTTGCATGAACTCCATTTTCCTCAGAAACAGCCATTACCGCAACACCTGCAACACACCCCAACTTTCAGTAAACTTAAAAACACCTTATTTGCATTACTCTCTCTCTCTGTCGAGAAGAAAGAAAAATGCCGATAAAACGCTCACCTGCTTGATGTTAGGCCTGGACTTAGGAGAGAGAAAGGGAGGGGAACTTAGGAGAGAGAGAGAGAGGTAATGTGAGAAGGAGGTGGAGGGGGAAGCATGAATATATAAGGGTTGAGTGAGGAGACGTACAGTAACAGATTCGAGAAGAACAAACACGTCCATCTCAACTTTATCAAATACCCACATGACACAGTCGGTGAGATGGAGAGAGACACATACTCCCTGTTTAGAGAGAGAGAGAGAGAGAGATAGTGAAAGAGAGACAGTTTTGATCCACTATTAATATTATAACAAGTATTTTCTTGAACTCTGTTGAGAGAGAGAGAGAGAGATAGAGAAAGAGAGACAGTTTTGATCCACTATTAATATTATAACAAGTATTTTCTTGAACTCTGTTTAGAGAGAGAGAGAGAGAGAGAGAGTACGTTACGTAGAGAGTAGTGTGTGTGTAGTAGTAATTACTAGAGAGAGAGAGAGAGAGAGAGATGTTTAGAAAATTTATGTCACGTCATAAAGGTTGTTGTGCTTATGCAAGGGGATCATCCAAGAGCGTCCCTTTCAAATAACGCTCTTGTCTTTTTATTATTATTAGGAGATTAATTTTTTATGTCACTATTTGTTTAATAGCAATAATAGTTGTGCAACGAATAGGATGCGACTTAATTGCGGTGTTATGTATTGTATCACCATGCACGCGTGTATGAAACATAGCGAGGTGGTAACAGGATACGAGGGCCCTTTTTGGTGTTTTAGAGAGAGAAACTTTTGTTCCTGATTCTTGCTTAGAGAGAGACAGGGCTCCTTCTCGTCCACGTTGCTAAACCTTTGGCTGGTGTAATGCTTTCGATCGATTGGATAATGGAAGAGGGGATCTATGAAAATCTGAATGTTACAAAATTTTAATTTATTTTTTAAAAATTATATAAAATTTTTATTTTATTTTTTATTAGAGTTAATTCTTTTTTTAGAAATAGGATTGATATGAGTTTTTTTAGTTTAGTTGATAAAGTTTGTTTTTTATGAGTTGATTTAGGAAGGTTGAGTTCTATTTTGTGGTCTGTATTTTCTTAAGAAAGTAGGTTATTTTTTTATCTTTTGGATTTTTTTTTTTTTAAGGTAATTTAATGGGAAAAACAGGCCCTTACCTATTTTTTTCAAATAGATTAGGAGTTAGCTTTTTTAAAGTGTTAGTGGTGGGAATGAAAAATACAATTTAGTGACTAGGATGCAGGGTGCTACCACCAAGAGATGAGATCTCTTTTGGTAGGACTGAGGATAGGAGGTCACGTTTAGAAAATTTTATCTCTTGTACTAATTGGGGGTAAAAGGTGTTTATTTTTAGTTTGTAAGAAATATATTTTGTTTCCTATTTTAAAGGGAATGTTATATTTTTTGTGTTGGGTTGAAACTAGAGGTTACATAGGTGAAGATGATGAAATAGAGAGTTATAGTTATCTTTTAGAAAGTTGGATTTGAATTTGATGAAATAAATAAGTCTTTCTTTGTAGAAAGAGAGGGACCCTTTGTGGGTGTTGTTTCTTCTCATGTGTTGATGAGCCTGTGCCAGAATACTCGTATCGTTTCTTCTCTTGTGTTAATGAGCATGTGTCAGAATACTCGTATATGCACTTTTTGTTCTTTTTTCTTGTGATTTTTTTCACGATTTTTATTCTTCTCTCTCTTAATTGCAAGTACTTTGCCAGGTGATAGTCTTCAGTAAATTTTATATTGCGTCAAGTGTTATCAGAGCATAGTCGATTCTTGTAGATCGTTTCTTCCTAATTTTTCTTTCAAGAGGTTTATTCTTCTCTCTTAAACGTGGGTAATTTGCCATGTAGTATTTGCCGGTAAATTTTATACTGCGGCAGGTGGTATTATAGTGTAGTCGATTCTTGTAGATTGTGATATTTTTCGATAGCTATCATGGCTCATGGACAAGGTCTATGGCCGGGCATCAGGACTCAACCCATTCAACATATTCAACACGAACGAAACCTCCGAATCAACACACTATGATGACGGTAATGAGTCGGACATTATTTTCGAGAACCCGTTCCATACCAACGCTTTGTGTCGGGAGCCTCATGGTCCGAAGAATGATATGTTTTCTTATGGTCTGGAGATTGATTTACCTGAGTTTGATGAAAAACCCATTGAAGATGAAAAAAATGTAGGTTTGGATCTTCAATCAAAATCATCACTCTTTGATGTCACATGTTACCCATCTTTGATGAAGATCCTTGATGAAGATCCTGTTTTTGATGAAGTACAAGATAAATGGAAAGAAGTTCTGATCATTATGATTCATTCACAAGATTTTCATTTTTGCACTAGGAATTGGAAATTTGCTATCCATTTATCTATGGAAAATGGTTTAGCCTTACCTCATAATTCATCGAAAATTGAAATTCAAGCATCCAAAACCTTTAAATCGATCATCTCGGCTTGAACATTATTATTGTGAAAAAAAATAGATTTCAATTTTGAAAAGTAGTTTATATTGCAACAAATCATCTAGACCGTCCACTTCGTCCTAAAAATAAGTATTCATGTATCTACACGATTTTTATGATTTTTTTAGTTTCAAATTTTGTTTTCAGTATTCGAAATTGATTTTAGAGCCATCATGGAGATTTCCAATAGCAAAAGTACGAGGATTTGAGGTGTGGCTTTAATATGTTTCCATAAAACCTAGTCTTTATAAAAACCTTATCCTTTATTTATACAACAAACAAGCTTTGATATCTAAGTATGGCAAGGAATAAAAGGGGCCTACCCCTCTTTGGGGTGTGTATTATTAGGTTATTTGAAATGGCCACTTTTCCAATTCTATTTCGGAACTAATATAGAGGCAACTTGTGTTTTCTTTTTTGAGTGCCACAGCATGATTATCTTTTTTTAAAAAAAGAAAAAATTTCCATTCTTTTATGTTTGTCAGTAAAATTTTCCTTCTTCATCTGTATGGAATTCTTCAACTTCCATTTATGCAAAAGAAACAAAACTACAAGGAGCTGGAAAAGGGAGGTGATGATAATGTGCATTTTGTTTTTTTGGAAAATTACAAAACCCACACATAATACACTATTCACTCAATTTACCCCCACCCAAACTTTTTTTCACACTTTTTTCCCCTCAACAACCTTTTTTCGCAAAAACCCCCAAAGGAAAAAGTTGTAATTTTTTGAACAAAAATGCCCTTACTATAATTTTCCCTTTTTTTTTTCTAATGCAAAACGGTTTATTGTCGTATATAAATGAGAGAGAGAGAGAGAGAGAGTATTTTCTCCTTGGAACATGGGCACTAGAAATAATAATTATCTCTATCTAACAATCACGGATTACCAAAAAAAAAAAAGAATTGAAAAAAAAAATTTCAAGCCCTAAAAGTATTAGGGAAAATTAAAAAAAAGAAAAGAAAAACAAGACCACAATTTCTATGCAACTTACCCCAATCTAATTTTTTCTCACTTTTTTCTCCAAAACAAACTTTCTATGCAAATACCCCCCCAGAGGAAAAATTCATTTTTTTAGATGGAAATGCCCTTTCGATACACAAAAAACAATTTGGACAGATTTGATGTTGACTTTTGGACCCCAGTAGCACATCGCCAAAGTGCATCATCACATTGCCGGATCACACAAGTGCCGAACCGTAACTGCCAGAATGCCCTCTCGCCCATTTCAATTGCTGGACCGCACTTTATATAGTACCGGAATTCTACTGCCAGACCGTACTTTGCACAGTGCCCGAGCCTTACTGCTATAGTGCTACTACCGGATTGCACTTACACGGTGCCCGAGCCCCTTATTTTGGTGGGACAGAGAAGAGAGAGGTGTGGGTAAGATAAAAGTAAAGGAGGGTAATTTAAGTATTTTTTTATTTTTTATTTGGTTGGTGGGTTTTTGCATAGAAAGTATAGTTTGGGGAAAAAAGTGCGAAAAAAGTTAGGTAGTCCTTTATTTTGGTGGATAAAAGAGAGAGATGCGTGGGTAATGTAAAAGCAAGGGAGTGTAGTTTAGTTTTTTTTTTTTATTCGGTTGGGGGGGTTTTTGCATAGACAATATAGTTTAGGAAAAAAAGTGGGCAAAAAGGTTAAAGTTGGGGGTAAGTCACTTAAAAAGTGTAGTTTTGAGTTTTTTTGTAATATTCTCAAAGTATTATGGTTCGGCAATTTCTTTGAGGCCGTCTATTCAAGTGTTTATAGATCTGCACCATTTTTGAAGCTTCAACTCTACAATTTAGGGCAGCAAATAGCAATGCAAGGAATTGCAGTTTTTGATAGTATATTGAGGTGCAGCATTAGCAAATACAGTAAAGTCGTGTACGTGCCATAACTTCATCTCGAGAAATGACGTTACAAGGGTAACAGTGCATGCAAAAGTTTTCAAACCCACAAATCTATGTCGGATTGTTGGATCAACAATCCAAATTAGGTACAGATCGATAATCTAAAACATATTATAAAAATAAATAAAATAAAATAAAAATAAGAGTTCGTGAGGTGGGGATTTAAAGGGACATAAAAAAATATTAGATAAATTTAATATATATATAAAAAAAAAAAGAGTTTTAGGCCGTAGCTAGATGCGTGTATTGAGTTTGAGCTTTGACCCCCTGACGTCCACTAGCCAACCTTGAACACAATTCAAACCAAATTGAAGTTTTATGATTCATGAAATTCAAACCAAATTGGAGCTCTATCCATCTTCTAGCCGCCTCAAAGTCCACTTAGGCACACCACCATTCAACACTTCCCCAGTCTTTTTCTTGTTCTTGTTTATTTTTATATTTATTGGTTATTAAATTATTTGTAATTGGGTAGGCATACCACCATTCAACACTTCCCCAGTCTTTTTCTTGTTCTCGTTTATTTTTATATTTATTGGTTATTAAATTCTTTGTAATTGGGGTGGCATTATATGCTAATTGCCTACAAAGCAAATGTATTACTAAAAGCTTTGAATTACCTATTTATGATGAGTATACATATCAAGACATCAAGGCATAAGCCGTTAGCGGATGACATTTAGCAATACTATATCTCAAGTTCAACTCCCACAATTGA